GTCATCTAGATACAGAGTCTGGAGAAGGAGGTAGAGGGGGAGGAAAGGTGAAAAGCGGGGGAGGGGAGGGGAAGAGCATGAGGAAGAGAAGGGGAGAAAGGGAAAGGGAAAGAGGAGGGAGAGGGGAAGGGCAAGGGAGGAGAGAGGGGGAAGTGGAGATGGGAGATCTGTCCTGCAGTTCTTTTACTAGAGATAGACAAATATAAGAGGGGAGGGGAAGAGCATGAGGAAGAGAAGGGGAGAAAGGGAAAGGGAAAGAGGAGGGAGAGCGGAAGGGCAAGGGAGGAGACAGGGGGAAGTGGAGATGGGAGATCTGTCCTGCAGTTCTTTTACTAGAGATAGACAAATATAATCCCTCTAAAGGGAGCCAGCTAAAGGCATCTTGAAATGAACCCCACCCAAAGGACCATGCACAGGGCCAGGACACCCAGCAGGGGGTGGAAGCCCAGGCAAAAGTTACAGGGCCAGCAACAGAACTGCAGTGCTAGATCCTCTGCAGGAGGACCTCTGAGAAATCATAAAATCCCCTCTGGAGAAAGTTCCAGAATCAAGCATCTTCCACACCAAAGGCCCAGACACAATTTGACCAGCCATGTACAACTGTGCCCTTTGCTCCAAGTGGGTCAGACCCTGCAAATGCTAAAAACAGCTGTTATAGGGGATGGGGAGGTCATGGCAAGTGGGGCGGAGAAGTAAAGAAAATAGGGAGAAAACCCTTAACCAGGCTTCCCTTCCCTGGCAGATTCCTGGTCTGCAGCAGGGCTGAGTATAGAAAGGGAGAAATCATATTTGTATTTTTGTTAAATTTTTGATACTGTGGTGCACTGGACTTTTAAAATACCTGTGAAATGGACTATTACGAGATAGTGACTGGGAATGCTATGAGAACTGTCTGCGTTTCCATCCAGGACAGGGGAAGGAATGACTGGCACTGTGGGTTTTAGCAGGGGCCACTGTAAGAAAACTGCGTCTGCTTTAATTTTGCACCCTACTGCATTTCAAAAACTGGTTTTGCAGGTGTAAATGCCAGTTACCAAGCAATAGTGTGGACACACCTGCAGTTAGTCTGATTCTGTCCGGAAGGGGCCTCAAAGACCGATGAGGCTGTGCATCTTCACAACCCAGCAGGAGGGAGGTGGTGACCGTGGTGAGGATGGGGCATTCCTCACCAAGCAGGTGTGAGGACCACCTGGCACGGCCTCCCTCCCCCATCCTGGAGCATCCCTGGAGAGCCTCTGGAGCCCTGGGACTCTTGCCTCCTCTGTCTTGATGACGTTCAATGAAAACCCCATGGTTCTCTACTGTGCTCAACAAAAGTCACCGTCAAGTTTGAAAAAAGTTAACATGTTTACTACTGACAGCAAAGGAAATTTACCATTCACTCACCATTTCTTCAGTGACGTCAAGGAAGGCCCCATCACCTGAGCCAAGGTCAGTAACGGGGGCACCATCCACAGTAGGAATCCCTTCCAGCGTGTCATTCAGGACCTCACCGGACCCTACAGAAAGCAGGCATTCTGTCATTACCAACAACATTTTGCAGTCTTGAACTGCACATGGACAAAATTGAGGTATCTCTTCACCTGTTAACTTGGGAAGATGTTCATAATACCATAATACAGAATGAAGGCGGAGAAATCCAGGTTGCAGAACAGCACATGAGGCAAGGTAGCACAGCACGGTGGTGTCCATCACCAGTGCTGGCACCACCTGCCAGCCTGCAGTCCTGCTCTGCCACCTACCAGGAACGCAGCCTGTGGCAAGGTGCTTAGCCTGGGCCTTAAGTTCTTCATCTATAAATGGGGACTATAATAATTCTTATCTCATAGGGTTGTTTTGAGGATTATGTGTCACAAGGATTAAATAAGTTAATGCAAGAGCAACATTGAGGACAGCCCCTGGTATAAGGTAAGCAACCAATAAATGTCCATTGTCAGTGTGGTTCTGTATTGTATTTGTGAAATAGAAAAAAGCTATATATGAGTATACATGTCTTATTATCATATATATATATTTATTATATAACACATTCATGAGTATAATTACTATAAACATATATAATACATAAAAGTATATATGTATATGTGTGTGTTTATATATTTATATACATACTTGGCTAAACAACAGGGCTGAATATTGGTTTTTTCCAGTTAGGAGGGTAAGAAGCAGAGGAAACTATTATTTTTTTGGTTCATACAACTGTGCATTGATTGAATTGTTACCACATGCACATATTTCTTTGGCAATTTGAAAAACAAATGGAGTCCTAAAGCAAAGAAAAAGAAATTATACTAACATGAATGCATGCCTGTTATGGGCTGGGCCTGGTGCCACGCGTGTTCCATGCACTCCCGCGTTTAATCCTCCTGCTAGCCCATCTGTCCCACCTACAAAGACCCATCCACCACCTCACTGCCGGTGGGCAGAGCCTGGATGGGAATCCCACGTTTTCAGTCCGGCACTGTCACCGCATGGCAAGTGCCCTGCCCTGATTCGCGCATTAACACCTTATTAACCCCACTGTTCAGAGGAGGACAAGGTCTCCAAGAGAGTAACTGGTGGGGAACGGCTCTGAAGCCCGGTCAGCCTGTCCCCGGGCCAGGCCCTGTCCACAGATGCTGTGCTCACGCATGTCCCACAGTCACAGCAGTGTTGGGGCAGGCGACGAACTCTCCAAACGACCCTGCGCCCCCACGCGGTCGAAGGGCTGAGCGCCCCGCGTGCTCCGCTCGCACCCGTCGCACGCTCGCGCCCTCCCAGCTTTGACCACAAGGCGGTGCTGTGCAAGCGGCCGGCGGGACCCCGGGCATGGGGTCTGGAGGTGGGGGTGGCCCCTTCCCCCCGCAGGATAGTGTCAGGGAAGCTGGGAATACAAATATGAGGGGACTTTCCCTGGCCAGAGCCGGCGGGACCGCGGGCATGGGGTCTGGAGGTGGGGGTGGCCCCTTTCCCCCGCAGGATAGTGTCAGGGAAGCTGGGAATACAAATATGAGGGGACTTTCCCTGGCCAGGGACGGCACTCTGGGTGCAGGGACCTTTCTCCCACCGTCTGGGCTGTCTACCCCAGAAGAAGAAAAGGGACACTTCAGCCAGCCCGGTTGTCTCCGCTGATGCCAGGGAGCAGGCGAGCCGTGCAGTGACGTGAGTCCCAGTCTCCAACTGGATCTTACCTCCTCCGTCTAGGAAAGCGCTCGCCCCCTGCCCCGCCACCTCTGCCCGCTCCTTGCCCCTCGCTCAGAAATCCTAATTCCACCCATGAGAGCAGCATTCGCAGCTCGTAAACCACTTCCACAGCCGCAGCCGCGGCCAGTCCTCTCAGCCACCCGGAGGCAGGGATTGTTAACATTCCCAGTGGACGGTTAAGGAATCCAAAGCTTGGAAATGTTCAGCAACTTGCCCAGGCCGACAGCAAGTAGCTGGGGAGCAGGGCTTCCATCCAAGCCGTCTGCCTCTCCGCCCCACCGGCAGTCTTTTTACAGAAACACCCTGACTTTATGACTGTATTAAATTATTATACAATTTTGTCTGTCCAGTACTCTATACCTTCTCTCACCCACAGACCTCTCAAGTTGAGCTGTTAAAATAACATTCACTAACTGATGGCAGAAGTTAAAAGAATAATGATAAATATTATTGTAAAAGACTTGTAAAGTACCTAAGTACAATAAAGAAAATAATCATCCTTAATCCTACCACCCACGGATAACTGCTCATAACATTTTGACATATGTCATATTTAGTATGTGGTGTGTCTAATACACACACACTGCTCTACATAGCTCTATATAAATAGATATAAATAACATAGATTCAAAATTAGGGTCATAGCACACATAGTTCTGAAATCTGCTTTTTTGGTGGAATACATCAGAAGCATGTCCCTTGTCGTCAAATCTTCTGCATCACCAGTGTCTAGGCTGTATGTATGAATGAAATAGAATTTGCCCGACCAGTCACTACTGTGGGTGGCTGGGGTGGTTTTTGCTACTAGGAACGGTGCTGCTGGGAGTGACATTGTACCGACGTCTTGGAGCTCTGGCCTTGGCTGTAACTTTGGTCAGAAAGGGCTGCCCCGCTGAGACAAGGCAGAAAATGCTAGCATGAAAATGTTACACACAACACTTAGGCTGGGCACACAGTAATCTCAGTAAAAGGCTCTGTGTATGATGGCACGTGAGGACTTGCCTTGCTCAGGGCTGCTGTGCTGGACGATGCTGAAGTTGGTGGTTTCTGGGGTCCCCTCAGGTACAGGTTCACCAGAAAGGTCCGTGTCTTCAGAAGGAGAGGATGAAGTGGGAGGTGTGTTTATCGGTGTAACTTTTGGTTCTTCAGGCTGAAGGGAGGAAAAATGAGACCCAAAAGAACTTACTTGGCCATAAAGCAGAAAAAATGGCAGTGACTATCATTGGAGAAAATAATATATCCAGAAAGTGCTGAATAAACCCAGACTTGGGTCAAATCCCAGCTCTCCACTTATTAGCTAAGTTCTGTTGGGAAAGTCGTGTAACCTCACTGAGCCTCAGCTTCCTCCTCTGTAGAACGGGGACAACAATGACTACTCAAAGGTAGAAAACGCACGGAAGTGCTCAGCACGCCTTTATCTTTAGTGCACAAATATCCCATGTTCATTAACAAAAAAACTGCAAGTGCAGATGAGCAAAGAGACAGCAATCAGCGTCAAAACCAGCACCTGGAGAAAATCACTATCCATGTTACTGTGCTGTAAAAGCTCCAGGGTGGAGGCAGCAGGGAAGGCTTCATGGCGTTGGGCCTTGAAGAATGAGCAGAGTTTCAGAAAAGGGGTGAAGGGGAGGGTTGGTGGAGGTCGAGCATTTGGGCTTTGAATAAAGTGGGTAGGGAAGGTGAAGGTTCAGGAAACACAGGAGGACAAGGTCATGGCAGGCTTGAGCTCTGCAACTCAAGGTGGCCAAGGCTGGGTTTATATGGAATCATTGATTCTAGCCCATTAGCCAAAAACTTCTTTCGGTAAACTCCCAACAAGGTGGTCACAAACCCCTGTTCAAGGACAGAATATGACTCTGGTAAGCTGGCCCTCAGTGATGAGAGTGAGGTGTCCTGCCTCAAACACATGGCTATTGGTTTTTAAGAGTCAGCGTGGATGGAGAGCCAGTGTGGCCTGTGACTAAATAGGAATGTCAAGTCTTCAGACTTGTTACTGCAAGTGTTAGTGATGAGAGTGAGGTGTCCTGCCTCAAACACGTGGCTATTGGTTTTTAAGAGTCAGCGTGGATGGAAAGCCAGTGTGGCCTGTGACTAAATAGGAATGTCAAGTCTTCAGACTTGTTACTGCAAGTGTTAGGATTTGCTGAGCCCATACTCACATCTACACACTCAGATTCACTCACTCCACACTTGTCTCCTGAGGCCCTACGAGGAGCCAGGTCCTTGGCTGAGCCCTGGGGACACAGAAATTAATTCATAAGACAGTGTGTCTGCCCTCAAGTGTCGGGCTGTGGAGGAGGCGCAGACCCAGACTCAGACACAACTAACTGTGATTAATAAGACGCATGGGAGAGCAGAAGTGAGAGCCCAGTGCAGGGAGGGAGCTTGGCTACACTGGCCTCCGAGCAGAGGATAGGCTGGATCCCGAAGGATAAGTAGGAATTTGCCAGGCAGAAAGGGGGTGGGGAAGGGCCCTCCAGGCAAACAGAACTCCAGCATGGATTGAGGGCAAGGTAAGTGCTTGCCGTGTTTGGGAAACTGGGAGTCTTTGGGCATGGTTGGAAGGGGGGTCCTGGCTGCGGATCAGAACCACCTGCAGGGCTTTTCGTCAGTACTGCTGCTTGGACCTCCCTCTGGACATACTGAGGCCCAGGCAAGAATCTTTTTTTAAAGACTCCCCCACTCCTCCCCCTGTCCCCCACACACGCTTACTCACAGGTGACTTTGATGCACAGCCGGCGCTGAGAACCATCAGGGTGTTAATTTTAACTCACTCAGATTCAGCATAAGATAGAACTTTCAGGAAATGCAAAGATATGTCAGCAGAAGTTGATGCGACAGAAGAGACAAGAATGGGGTAGCAGGGACTCCAACCCGAAGAAGGCAGGAGGGGCTGACTTTTTAAGTCCCTGACTGCTCAGCCACTGGCTATGGATGTGTCTTGGAGGGTGGCAGGCTGGAAAGGCTGGGGATGGAGAAGTGAGATACATTCCAAGAAAGAAGCCAGACAGAGAAGTGGGGGGACCGTCTGAGAAGGGAAATTCCCTATCCTGGATGGGTGGCTGCTGAAAAGAGCCGCAGAACCTTTCCAGGAGTGATCAAAGCAGGGAGCCCCCACCTCAGGTGTGATGTGACTGAGAGCACCCTGGGCCTGGAGCCCAAGACCTGGCTTGGCCACCTTCAGGCTGGTGGCCTCGGGCAATGCTCTCCACTGCTCTGTGTCTCAGTGCCCACTTCTGTGGAATAGATCCCAAGACACCTCCCTGAAACAAGACTAAAGGGAATGTAAACACTTGCGAGAGCGGCAAGTCCGGCCTTCACGGACGGTCCATGTGGAAGGGTTCTGATGATCGAGAACAGATGAATTAGCATCAGGACCAGCAGTCCAGGATCTCCAGGCCCAGAGCCACAGCCCAGGGGGAATCCTCTTAACGACTGAGGGCAGCCACAAGGGTTTGCCATGGCTGTCAGCCCACGCCGTCAGCCAACCTGGAAGCAGGTGGCGAGGAGAGGGCCCCACGAGGAATGCAGCATCTGCACTGTGCCCAGTGCTAAGTCCAGCCCTGAGCTGGGTGTACCAACGCATCGCCCCCTAACCCTCACAACAAACTGTAAGTCAACAGTAGCCACACAGCAAGCAGTCACCACGAGCGGCCGCTTCCAGCCTGTCCAAGTGTCCCACACGGCCAATCCGTCTCATTCTCACACTACCCCTGTGAAGCGGGTGCGCTCTGTTTTAACAGACGAGGAACCTGAGACGTGGGGAGTTTACGTTACTTGCTCAAGGTCAACAGCTAGTAAGTGGCAGAGCTGGGACTCACATTTGGAGGGACTACGATCTGCACCAGTTCTCTGAAAACCACTGAGAAAAGAGGGCTAAGGAATCTGGGAAAGAAGCTGTCCCCACGGCTACCACGTCCATCAGATCACCAACAACTTTTCTTCCTCACTTCTCCAGACACTCGGGGGATGTATTTCATACCCTCTCTCGACTGCTGTGTGCCCCACATCTGCCCCTGCACCTGAAGTGCTGTAGTCCTGAGTAGGGGGCCCAGGCTTGAGTCCTGACTCCACCCCTGCATGACCCTGGCAGAGCCACCCGCTGTCCTGGGTGCCTGTTTTCACATCTGTACAATGGGGCAGATGCCACCTCCTTCGCAGGTAGATGTGGCAAGGAATGAGTGAAATCACGTACACAAAGGCGCCGGCACGCAGTCAGTGTGGAGAAATGCCAGTTCTCCTCTCCCCCACTTCTCTACCCCTGTCCAAAGCTGCCCAGCCCCACCACCCCCCTCCCAAGCTTCCCATCCCTGTGATCCTTTCATGTTCTCAAACCCCGCTCTCCTTTCCTGTCCCCCTCTCAGGACCACTTTGGGTTATTGGCATCTCTGCCTGAGTTGGCCTCACTCCTAGTTGTGAACTGGTGCACTGGGGGCAGCATCCAGCTCAAAGGCCCAAGGGACCCCTACTCTGTGTCCTGCTGCCCAGTGCCTGGGACACGCCAACTGGGTGACCAAGGGCTGATGGACACACAGGATTGCAACACTACCCAGAGCAGCCACCCTCCCTCCTCACCGAGTAGGTGGGTACCTTGGACCCTTGATTTCCTCCATCCCAGTTGCCCAAGAATCAGCTGCAGTCCTGGGGTTGGACTTCTGCAACACCGCCCAAGCCATGATCTATTGATGGGCATCGGGAGACCCGTGCTCTAGACCCAGCTCTGCCCATGCACCCCGGGCCAGTCTCTTCCCCTCTCTGGGCCTCGCTTTGCCCATCTGTACAAAAGGCAGTTTTCTGTACACCTCTGTACAGAAAGAGGCAACACACGAGTCCTTACTAGCACTGATAGACTATGGTCCCTTTCTGCAAGCACCCACACCCCTGTTGCCTGAGGTCTATATTTATAGCCTCTGCCTTATTTCCATTTCCCTGCTTTCTTCTATCAGAGATGAGTTTACAGAGTGAGCCAGACCAGTTGGGGAGACTGCTGGAGATTTTCTTTGTTCAGTGACTCAGACACTGCTTGCTGTTTTCATTAAAAATGGGCTCCTTGGTATCCCCACAGTATGACTCAGCCTTCCAAACCACATCCTTGTGTTGGCCACAGAGTGCGTTCCCAGGAGGTAGGAGGCCTGAGCCACTGGAAGGAGAGCCACTAGGGCCAGAAGCCAGCTCCTGGGGGACTCTGCAATTCGAAGAGGGGCGGTGCCCTCTGCTTTCACAGCTGGAGCCCCCAGTGAATGGAACAACAGCCATCCTTCAGGGCCATTTCCTTTGTGCCAGGCACTGGGCTGAGACTTGTCCCCGCACTGCCTCCTCACCCCCGCAGCAACCCTGTGAGATAGGACTATTGTTATGGCCTCTCTGTGGAAGAGGAGCTGAGGTTCAGAGAGGTTGAGCAAGTTACCCAAGGCCACAGAGCTGGAAAGCAATAGAGCACGACATTCGCCTCTGGACAGCCCTATCGTGGCCACAAGCACAGGGTGGCACTGAGGTGACTGGTGTTCAAGTTCAATTGGGGAGTCTGCAAAATGCCCATTGGCCAGTACTCTCCTATCCTCCCCAGATGAGCCAGCAACTAAGATCTGAAAACAGGGATGTCAGGCCTGGGCTCTGGGCACCCTCCAGTAATTCTCAGCCCCCTGAAAGCTGACCAGCACTCCAGTACTCACCGGGGCTTGAGTGTAGGTGACGGCTTCTAAGATCTCAGCTACTCCGTCTGTCTCCTGAAGCCCACTGGCCTCTCCTGATGCCTGTGTCAAGACAAACCATGCCAAACACCGGGCAGAGGGTGAGCCAGTTACATAAGAGCCTGACAACTGGGAAAGTCATAAAAACCGAGACACTGACTCCTGTAGAGGAGCCATGTGCGTGTGTGTGTGTGTGTGTGTGTGTGTGTGTGTGTGTGTGTGTGTGTGTGAGAGAGACAGAGACAGAGACAGAGTGGAGTTGAGGAGACGTCAGGTGTGTGCAGTGTGCATGGTTGGTTATTCTTTTTGTTTCCTTCTGCATTTTATTGCTTAAACAAACAAAAAACACAATCATTTTACAGTCTCTCTAACACATCAACTTTCATTTTGTCCGGGTTTCCTTCACGCTCTTAATCTCTGCAAGGCTGTCTTTAGACTCACATTGGGAACTATGACATCAGAAGTATGACTTCCTGTTGTTACCCAATCTTCATAATTAGCTTCCTTAAGGTGGCCCCAGAGCCTATGTGCTATGACTTTGTAACCAATCGTTCTCTTGGGTGGTTTCTGTTTTTCTGGTGTTAATGGCAATGCAGAGATGAACAAATGACTACTCCTAAAGGTTCCCTTCTCTTGGCTTCCTCTAAATGCCAGGCCAGATAGCAGGCTCAGGTGCATTCCACCTTTGAGGGGCTTTCCAACACCCCCAGTCTGCTGAATCTGAGTTTGAGGACCTCCCTGTGTTTCCACCATACTCGGCTCTGTCACTGCCTTTGGGTATGTAAGCGTGTGTGAGCAGCTTGAGGTTGAGGACAGTTCCCAGTTTATCCATTTATCTCCAGCATCCCCAGGCTGTCACCTAGCAGATGCTCAGTGAGCCCTGGAGGAAGGGGGAGGGAGGGAAGAGAGAGCCGTAATTTTTTCCCAGCCCACCACCCCATCCCCAACTTAGGAACTGATTCACTTGCCAAGCATAAAAGCTAAATTTAAGTTAGTTTTTATGGGCACTGACACCCAGAATATCTTAGAGTTTTAACTTTGATTTTAGAATCCTGACACCCTTTCTTGGCAGGAAGGATGAAAACCAGGCCACTGACTGCCACAGCCCCAGGGGAACCTAACAACTTATAAGAAGCATCCTCCAACCCCCACCGCCAAAGAGAGGGCTGAAGCTCTTCAAAAAAGTGAAATAAAGCCAAAAGCCCAAAATAGGCCTTAAGGCAGCGTTTGCCAAGATGAGAGGTTCTAGAAAGTCCATGACGTTGGGGCTGAAGAATTGCCTGGGCACCCGTTCCTTCCTTGGCCTGCTGGGGGCTGCAGGACCCGCTGTGGGAGCGGGCGGCTCACCGAGGACTCATCGGCTTCACACAGCTCCTCAGGGGTCCTGGGGTCAGGAAAGATGGTGAGCTGCTGTATGGAGCCCTGGGGAAAAGCAGAGAGGTCAGAAGCCACGCTTTGCACCTCCACAGCACAACTGCCAGCAGAAAACATGATTGTTTCTATAACAGAGAAGAGCAAGGGAAAGGACAGGCCAAAGAACATGCTCCCTGGGGCCGTGACAAGGAAGCCAAGCTATCTCTTAGCCCACTCTCAGCTGGGGGCTCTCCTTGGGCCATATAATACAAACGCCCTTAGCTGGAGAGGTCCTTGGAGAGGCCTGTGTTCCAAGTGTAGACTCCCGTAGAAGCCTCCTGTCTCCCAGTGCCCCGCTTGTCGGCGGCAGGCCCTGAAATGCATGTCTCCCTCTCCCAGAAGGTGTATTTCCCCGTAGCTGGAAGCTTCTCGGCTGGATGGCCTCCTCCCCAGAAGAGCTGCCTCCAGCCTCCCTGCCTCCACTCCCGCCCCCTCTCCCCACACCAGACAGCTCATCCTCCACGAGGCCCCCAAAGTGAGCATTTAAAGCCTGTCCATTAGATTTTAACTTCGCAACATTCTCCACCGTCTTCCACTGTACAAGTAAACCCAAACTCCACCCCGTGGTGCTGTCTTGTTCACCAGCCAGGTATCAGTAAATACATGTGCTGACTAAATGAATAACTATGATAACAGCGATTTTCTTTAGAATGGCTTATTCAGAAAAGCCCATTTTAATAGTAAAGTCAGTTTTCTTATTTTATTTTATTTTTTTTTAGGGCGCATACTCCAAAAGAAGAGAGAGAAGCTACTTCTCACTCCGGTATTCTAGCTTATTCTACTTTTGTGGAAATTACTTAAGTGCAATCACCATCCATATCCAAAGATAAAATCACTTAAGCTTATGACAAACCTTATTCTTCCTTATAACACCTTTAAATATACAAAGTGCTTTCACACAGGTTATCTCACTTGACTCCACAAGCCTGTGGGGTAGGTTTTCTTATCTTCACTTACAGATAAGAAAACCCAGAGAGGATCAGAGGTACTGTCTATTCAGCAGGCTCAGTTGAAAACTGAGCACTGGAACCTAGGTTTTTGGGTTCCGGGCCTAATGTTCTTCCCACCATAACATGCATGTCTCTTTGAGGACATAAGAATAAAATAATAACAGTAACAGTTGCTCCTATTTATTGCACGATGAGCCTGTGTCCATCGGCCATGCTGATCTGCCTGGAGCAGGACTTTGACTCACAGTGAATCTCTCCAGCCCCGTGGCTCCTGCGCTGCCCACGAAGATTCCAGCACTGGGCTCAAAAGCCAAAGCCCGGGAGGACCGCTGGAAGGGGATGTGGCTGTGCTCCTCGCAGTCCATGAGGAGCGTCACTTCCTCGCCCTGGACAATCACGGCAAAGCGGTTCCACTTGTGGGTCATCACGGGCACCGAGAAGGCAGCAGCCTCGTGGGACACGCGGGAGCCAGGCTCCGTGTAGTAGAGGATGACATGCTGGTGGCCATCCTCCACGCCCGACAATCGCAGGCCCAGGTAGATGACCTTCTGGAAGGCATCAGTAATGGCAAAGAGCGCACCGCCCCGAGTGCTGCTGGGCTTTACTGTGACGCTGATGGCGAAGTCCCTGAAAAATGTGGGTGGGATGAGGGTCCTGGCTGGGCGGCCGACGTTGGCACCAGGACCGAAGCTGTAGGCCGGAAAGCCACCATAGCCCGTGACAAAGGACACAGATGAAGGCAGTGGGACACCAATGAGCTCTGTGAGGTCCAGGTGGCCCTGGGAAGCTGACTCTGCAGGGAGGGAGAGGGAGGTTTATATTCACACATATATTCTACTACTCTTAGAAATGAGGAAGAAACAGTCACAGAGGAAATGGCATTCCTCAGGCACCGCATCGAAACTGGAGTTTCTAAATCATTTTTCAAACGTTTTGGACAACAACTCACAATAAGAAATGCATTTACATTGTGACCCAATGTGCACATCTGTATGAATAAATATCTGTAACACCAAAACAAATGTTTCCTAAAACATTATTAACTTTTAGTACTCACCATGCACTTGAATACTTTCCTTTCCATTTAATTATTCTTTTTCTCTTTTATTTTATTAAAAACATGCTGGAAATAACCTACTAAACTGATTTCATTACCCACTAATGGGCCATGCCCCGCGGATTGGAAAACATTTGCATATAGTTCCTAGAATATTCCTAGAATGTGTAATGTTCCCCCATCAACTTGGAGATTTCTTTCTCTCACCCTAATACCCAATAGGTTTGTTTTGTTTTGTTTTGAATGAGGTCTACTGTGTGTCTCAGGGTGTGGGGGGAAAGCAGGGACAAAGTGAAGTGTGCCTAGACCTCAGGACAACTGAAATTTGCATCACTGTCATGGCCCTGTTGTCGTCCCATCACCCACATTCCCTGGGCTCTCACTCTGTTCCAGGAGCTGCACTAAGCTCTCCACACTTGTGAGCTCATTTATTCCTAACAACACTATGAGGTCAGTACTGTTAGCCCCATTCTACTTCTGACCACATTCCCTGGGCTCTCACTCTGTTCCAGGAGCTGCACTAAGCTCTCCACACTTCTGAGCTCATTTATTCCTAACAACACTATGAGGTCAGTACTGTTAGCCCCATTCTACTTCTGAGAAAACTGAGGCTTACAGAAGTTAATAAGTTTGCTCGAGCTCCATGCAGGGTCAAACCCAGAGCATCTGACCTCGGAGTCTGTGCTCTTAACCACCACCCCTTGCGGGGAGAAATGATAGAGCTCCATTATGGTGGCTTGGTAAGGACCCCAGGCTTGGGAGCCTTGGTCCATCCACCCACTGTCCCAGGAGAAGGTTGCAGGGTGGCTGTGACATGCACCCGCTCCTGAGATGATGTCCAAGGTACAAGCAGTGAGATAGGAAGGCAGGTGCCAGAGGGAGGTGGGCAAGACCACTGCAGCCAGGACAATGGACGCCCTTTGGAAGTGAAGCCAGAGACTGAAGATTCAGCCAGGTGAGGGGTCCTGGAATGAGTGAGGATCAGAATCAAGCAGTGTTCTCCCCCAGAGGCCAGAGGGCAGGGCAGACTCACCTGGTGACTGCCTGGGCTGCAGCCAAAGGCCAGAGGCCCATGAGAACCTGAGTGGCCTCCAGGGACTCGGCAGGTTGGTCTCCAGAGAAGACCCAAACCACTCGAGGACACCTCTAACTAAAGCCCTACCTGAGGAATCAAGCTTGTTTTCCAGTTTACCCAACTTGCCACTGTCTTACTAGACACAGTAACTAGCTGTGTGACCTTGGGTGAGTCACTTAACCCCTCCAAGTCTGAGTGTCTTCCTCTATCATATGAGGCCATAGTGTGGGCTCCAAAAGAATGATCGAGACCATCCATGTAACCCTCTGATCAAAAACAGTAGTGATGCAATAGACATTTGCTGCTCTTTATTTTTATTACAACCACTCGACAAACCCTGAGAGGTAGATGGGCAGGGATTATTGCCCCACTGTGTTGACAAGGAAAGTGAGGCTGAGATGCTGAGATGGGGGCCAGCCTTTGTGCCCCTGAGTTCCCTATAAAGGATACCAACAACCGTATTTTTCACACACGATTTTACTTAGTCCTTCAGCAGCCCTGGGAAGTAACTGCTCTTATCCCATTTTATAGGTGAAGAACTGAGGCTACAGAAGGTGAAGTGCCTGAGGGTGCACAGCTACTAAGTGTCAGGATGTCTTCGAGGAGTGGCTGGGCTGACTTCTGGTTGATTCATTGCTACAGCCTCGCTGAGATGGGGGGTCTCTACAGGGTTCTGGTGGGGCCCAACCTAGTCTGCCTACCATACCAACGTCCCTCCAGCAAGCAGGAGGATGGAGCCGAAACTCTGGGTGATCCAGGAACTCAGACTTCCCATGGAAGGTGTGCTTGTTCCCAGAGGGTGGGAGACAGAGAGACGCCCTGAACGCTGTGCCCCCACCCCCACCCCACAGCACTCACAGATTAGCCTGCCCATGGTCAGCAATTAGCCTGTGCGTGTGTGTGACACACAGAGACATGATTATTATGAGACATTTAGTTGATACAGAAAAGTATAAAGAATAATACAAGGCACTTAAAATTGGTTAAAATGGCAAACCTTATGTATATTTCACCACCACAACAAAAAAACACAAGTAATACCTCATAATACAAAGGGCTCACACATGCAAATGCCCAATGAGTGCTGAATAGCATTAACATTATCATCATCATCACCATCATCATCACCATCATAGAAGCCATTCCAGTTCAGAAAGGAATCTCTGAGGTCACCGGACACCACCCTCTACCTAAGATGTGTTAACCCTGCCCTGCTGAGTATGGTGGCCACCTGCCACAGGTGGCTACTGAGCACTTGAAATGGGGTCTTTCCAATTGAGATGTGCCATAGTGTAAAATATAAACTGGATTTCAAAGACTTGGTTTGGAAAAAGACATGTAAAATATCTCATTAATAATTTTTATATTGATTACATTTTGAAATGTTAATTTTGGAAAATATTGGGTCTAACTAAACCATTATTAAAAAAGTTTGAAGAGTAATTTGAAGAACAAGCATGTGCTCAACACTCCCCTTGAAAAAGAAAATATCAGTTCAGCTGAAGCGCTCATGAACTCACTCCAGGCCTCTTCCTCTGTCTGTGCCCCAGAGGTAGCCACTCTTGGGAATTTGGTGAATTTGTATGTTTACTGCACGAATATGCGTCTCTCACAGAAAGCAGAACCACTGTGCATGCTTCTAAACCTCATCTAAATGTCGGCATGCTGCATGTATTCTTCTGGCACTTGATTTTTTTTCACTCAACATTGTATTTTTGAGCTTTATCCTTGTTGAAACGTGACTCTGGTCTTATATTTTCACCACAGTAATGTATAAATAAGTCAGAAAGGATTGATTCACTTTCTGTGGATGGAAAGTGATGTTTCTATCACTACTACAAACAATATGTTATGGACTCCTTTATACATGTTTCCTTGTGCTTATCTGTGCAGGTAATTCCACCTCCTGGAGGTGGAATAATTGGATGATATGGGTATGCGCACCTGCAACTTCACTAAATGTTGCTAAATAAATCTCTGAAGCAAGTGTGCGTGTTCTTGCCAACATTTAGGGGAGGCAAAAAGATGCAATTTGGGAGCGGTCCATGGGACTTCTCAACTATAGTGATAATGTTTATTTTTAAAACTAGGCAATAGTCAAAAGAAGAATTTGTTGTATTATTCTTTATAACAAATGTCATGGAAATATTTCACAACAATTTTCATGAAAATGATTACCCCCCCCCCACCACAAAAGAGCAAATCTGATCACGTTGGTGCCCTGCTTAGAAGCCTTGCATGGATACCCATGGCCCTCGGTGTCAGGGCTGGCCAGGCTGCTGCTGCCTGGTTTGAGAGGACTATTGTGGTTTGGACCCGGCAGAACTCCCTACTCCCAACATGCCCTGATATAGTCCCCTGAGTGTCCCATGCTGTCCCAGGTGCTCCCACCTCTACTGCAAATGCTTTCCTTTCTACTATCCACCCCACCCCAGTTATTTTTCCAGAATAACTGTGCTCGTCATTCAAGACTCAGCCCCTGCCTCGCTTCCCCTGAAATCCCTTGTTTCACCTCCCATTCCCACAACGTCTCCCTCCTGGGCTACATTAAAAGCCCTATGATATGCACTGGGATCCCCCATCTTAGCCCCCAACACACTGCATGTCACTGGTTAGGTCATTTGTCTGTCTTCCCATTGGACCATGAAAACAGGAACCACACTGTTCATCTCTGTGTTCCCAGTACCCAGCCCACTGCTGATGAATGAAGGAACTAACAACTGAATGAATGAATGAATGAATGAGGTCCAGCCTCCTCATTTTACCAAAGACTAAAACTAAGGTTAATAGAGGAAAAGGGTTTGCTGGCCATGAACTTGGATTTAATTTTCAGTTGAATGCTTGTCCTCTCCAGTTTGTAACTTGTCTTAAGAGAGAAGTTAATTTTAAGTAATTTGGGTGTAACACTCAAACCCAAAAGGCATAAATTAAAAGACTACTACATTTGGTTAAATATGACTACATAGATTTAAAAAGTTCTGCATAGCAAAAAACCAAATAATAATAATGATAAACCCCACAATGTTAAAAAAAACACCCTCAAAACAGGGGGAAATTGCTACATATATCACACACAACAAGCTTATGAAGATGCAAAGCAAATGAATGAACAAGAGAGCAACAATCCAACAGAAAAATGGGCAAAGAATAAGAAATTCTATCCATAGTAAAAGAAGTTAAAATGGCTCTTATGTGAAAAATAGTCAGCTTCACTCATAACGAGAGAAATAGAAGTTAAGTTTACAGAGAGATACCATTTTCCCCCATCAGATTGGCAGAGATGAGAACGTTGGCTAACGTGCTGGGTTGGCAAGGGTTTGTGGCCCTCAGGATCCTCAGAAGGGCCCACATTTCTCCACAGATAATGATATCTATCTCACAGGATGGTTGTGTGACTTGAATAAAATAATGTATCTAAAATTTTTAGCACACTGCTTAGCACACAGGGTGCCTAAAAGCTTGTAGTTACCATTTCTGACACTATTACCATTATCCTGCTGCCTCCCCATGTAGTTATCATACTGGAAAACTGAATGGGTCCTATCCTTTCACACATCCTAGCCCTCATGTATGCTCTTCCCTCACAGAGGAACTGCTCCATACTTCTCAAGACCCAGCTTCAATGTCATCACCTCCTCCATGAAGTCTTCCTGGATTCCCC